GGGGCCAAAGAGAGCGGAGACAGGTAGAGAAGAAGGAAAGGAAGCTTGTGTTATAAACACCCATTCATGTTGTGTTTGTGAGAGAAGAGAGAAAGAGGAGACAGCAACAGAGGAGACAGATGTCCCCATACCTAGTAAAGGTATCTCTGTATTTATATTTATATTTTTTATCGATAAAAAACCTAACACAAACTCTAACTCTATCTCTAAACGGCTATCAACGAAGTGAAGAGACACCTCAGGCTCAGCAGCAACACGACGAATCAGAGACACAAAACTGTCTCCTCCCCCAGCCAGCTGCAGCACACCAGACATAGAAAAATCAGCATCCACCCATGCTGCTGTCTCCAACGCAGGCAGCAGGCTGCTGTCTCCTCCTCCTGCTCCTGCTGCTGCTCCTGCTGCTGCTGCTGGTGGTGCTGCTGCTGGTGGTGCTGCTGCTGGTGGTGGTGGTGGTGTTGGTGTTGATGAGGGGGTGGAGAGACGGCGGGGTATGGGAGAGGGAGAAGCAGCAGCAGCAGGTGCTGCTGCTGCTGCTGCTCCTGCTGCTGCTGCTGCAGCAGGCTCTGGACGTTTTATCATAGAGGCCCCACCGTCTGTGTCTGGGTTGAATCCAAGGCGAACGAGAGGAGGAGTTGCTGCTGCTGCTGCTGCTGCTGTTGCTGCTGCTGCTGCTGCTGCTGTGTCTCCTTCTTCTTCTTCATCGAGACAAGGAGCATCAGCAGCAACAGGCTGCACGGGCCCCAAAGGAGACAGAGAGACACTTATAATACCTATCAAAGGACCCTGCGGGCTGTCTGTACGCATCTCGGCCTCCAACAATATCTGCAAAAGGAGACACACACATATATATATATATATATATATATATATATATATATATATATATATATATATATATATATATATGTATATGTATATGTATATGTATATGTATATGTATATGTATATATCTATGCATATATGTGTGTATATATGATGTATGTTTTTATAAAGATGCGGAGGCACGCAGAAAGAGAGACAGACGGAGACAGTATGAGACAAAAAGGAGACAGAAGAACACAAAAAGGAGACAGAGAGGGGACAAAAGGAGGCAGTAGGAGACAGACGGAAACAGGCGGAGACAAAAAAGAGACAAAAGGAGACAAAAAGGAGACGGAGAGAAGACAAAAAGGAGACAGACAGAGACAGTATGAGGCAAAAAGGAGACAAAAAGGAGACAAAAAGGAGACAAAACGGATACAAAAAGGAGGCAAAACGGAGACAAAAAGGAAACAAAAAGGAGACAAAAGGAAACACAAAGAAGACACAGAGGAGACAGCCGGAGCCAGCATGAGACAAACGGAGACAAAAAGGAGACAGAAGAGGAGACAGCCGGAGCCAGCAGGAGACAAAAAGGAGACAAAAAGGAGACAAAAAGGAGACAAAAAGGAGACAAAAAGGAGACAGTGTATACCTTTTGCACTGCAACCGGAGACTTGGGGCCTAGGGGGTTGGCGATGCGGGCCCTGAGCTGTGCATGCAGCAGCGCGGTGTCTCCTTTTGTGGGGCTTTCTGTTATTTTCATTTCTTTAAAAAGGAGACCCTCCATCATAGATGCAATAGGATTGTCTCCTTTTGGTTTGGGGGCCCTTGATGGGGGGGGCCCCCTCGGTACCCACTTTCTCCCCGTGCCTGTGTCTGCTGCTGCTGCTGCTGTCTCTGCTGCTGCTGCTGCTGCTGCTGCTGCTGCTGCTGCTGTTTTATACCCTGCACGGGGCCCCACACTGATGCCNCTGCTGCTGCTGCTGCTGCTGCTGCTGCTGCTGCTGTTTTATACCCTGCACGGGGCCCCACACTGATGCCACGCACAGGAGTAGAAAAGACAGCAGCTAGCAGCGCGGGCTCAAAGAGAGACACCGAGCAGGAGACACCTCGTGCATGCAGGGTGATTTCTTCTCCCGATAGAGAACGGGACAACATTGACCCCAATGCATCTAAAAAAGAAGAAGAGGAGACAGGTGTCTCCTTTTTATTCTGCTGCTGCTGATGCTCAGAGGAGACAGCAGCAAGCTGGCGAGTTGTTGTGGGGTGTGGGGTGTGTGTTTCTTGGTGGGGTTGTAGTTCTCCATAGAAATAATATATATTGTCTCCTCTTTGTAAACTAAGAGGAGAGACAGACTCCATATACCCTATTGGTGTCTCCTTATAACTAATAAGAAAACGAGCAAAGCCCAGAGAGGAGACAGCTGTCGTGCTGCTGTTGAAAAAGGAGACACTTGTATGCATGCGCACTGTCTCCTTGTCGCTGTCTCCCAAATCCAAAGACAATACACGAAAAGGAGACACACCACCAGAACCCTCAGATGCTAGTAATGCAGGACCTGAANATCCAAAGACAATACACGAAAAGGAGACACACCACCAGAACCCTCAGATGCTAGTAATGCAGGACCTGAATACAGCAGCAGCAGCAGCAGCAACAGCAGCAGCAGCAACAGCAGCAGCAGCAGCAGCAGCAGCAGCAGAAGCAGCAGCAGCAGCAGCAAACAGGAGGAGACAGTTGATTCAACAGAATGTAGGTGGTGTGGAGGGGGGATAGAAACAAACAAACAAAGAGGAGACAAACAAACAAGAAGGAGACAAACAAACAAAAAGGAGACACACAAACAAAAAGGAGACACACAAAAAAAAGGAAGAGACAGAGAAACAAAAAGGAGACAGGGCAGCAGAAGAAGTAAAAGAAAAGGGAGACAGATGGAGACAAAAAGGAGACAACACAACCGCAACAAAAGAAAGAGAAAGAAAGAGACAGATAGAAGGAGACAGAGAAACAAACAGAAAGAGACAAACAGGGACAGACATATAAAGAGACAAAAAAAAATATAAAAAAGAAAAAAAAACAAAGAAAGAGATAAGGAGACAGACAAGGAGACAACGAGACAGAAACAAACACATAAAGACAAACAAAAACAGAGAAAGACAAACAAACAACAAACAAAAAAACAAAAAAAACAAACAAACAAATAGATAAATAAATAAACAAAGACACAAACAAACAAAACAAACAAAGAAACAACAAAAGAAAGAAAGAAAAAAAAAAAAAAAAAAAAAAAAAAAAAAAA